GCATGATACCATGACAGCATGATACCACGACAGCATGATACCACGACAGCATGATACCACGACCGCATGATACCACAGCATGATACCATGACAGCATGATACCACGACAGCATGATACCACGACAGCACGATACCATGACAGCATGATACCACAGCACGATACCATGACAGCATGATACCATGACAGCATGATACCATGACAGCATGATACCATGGCAGCATGATACCATGATACCTATGACAGCATGATATACCTATGACAGCATGATATACCTATGACAGCATGATACCATGATACCATGACAGCATGATACCACGACAGCATGATACCATGACAGCATGATACCATGATACCACGACAGCATGATACCATGATACCATGATACCATGACACAATGACAGCATGACCATGATACCATGATACCACGACAGCATGACAGCACGACACGATGACACCGCAACAGTATAATACAACGACAGCGACACTTTCTCTAGTAACCCACCTTCTCTTCATTGAACGCGAGCGTAGACTCCTCCAGGGCCTCGCCCGCCTGCTCGTCCTCGTAGTCGCGCATGTACATCGGATTGCTGATCTCGACGTTCGCGTTGTCCGTCATGCGCATGTGCGAGAAGCCCTTGCTGCGCAGCCTCCGCCGGTAGCAGACGACGGCGACGATGATGACGACCAACGCCGCCGCGATCACCACGGTGACGACGACGGGCAGCAGCCAGTCTGCGACGACGGAAATGAGCGGGGTGAGTTTGTGTCGCTATGGCGACCGCGATGGGAAATGGCGAGATGACATTGTGTTGCCACGGCGACAACGACGGGAAGGAGACGGTCTGTTATGGGAACATGGAAAAGTCAAACCGTGCAATGAGTTCGTAACCATGGCGACGTTGACAGCCTGTGACGGACACAGCAAGATGCGGTCAAACCAGGGAATGAGTTACCATGGTGACCACATTTCCAGGAGTCTTCCAGGATGCAAGTTCTATTTTTCAGACTCTTCAATAGCTGCACCCATATGCCACTTCCGTCTATTCTATAGTATTACCTCTCTATAGTTTCTCTAGTTATATTCCCATACATATATGTTTGTTGGAGACAAGTATGTGATAAATGTATGAGCATACCCTGAGACTGTGAGCTGTCTCTGGACGTCTCTCTCTATTCTATAGTCTTACCTCTCTCTAGTTATATTCCCACATATAAGTGCATGTAAGAGATAAGTGATAAATGCGTGTGCGCGTACCTTGAGACTGTGACGAGTCACCGGACACGGGACCCTTCAGTCCGGCGATGGTGACACCGCAGCGATTACCGGTGAAGCCTGCAGGACACCTGAAACCCAACGCCGCCGATCGTGAGACGCACACGCAATAGTGGATGGCAATATATCTTGGCGAATGGCAACGAATCATAGTAAATGGCAATGAATCTTAGTGAATGGCAACGCATCTTCATTAATGGCAAATTAATCTTAGTGAATGGCAACGCATCTTCATTAATGGCAAATTAATCTTAGTGAAAAGCAACGAATCTTAGAGAACGGAAACAAATTTTAATTAAAGGCGACGAATCTTTTTGGCAAATAGTGAATTGTAAATAAACAATCGCTTCCCTGATGACTGATCAGCTTTGTTAGACACACTAGAGTTGTAACACTATTACTATTATCAATGCTGGAAATACCATTTACAAGCAGTGCAGTCCAGTGATGATGTTGTTCACCTTGGGCGTGCGTGCGTGCGTGCGTGCGTGCGTGCGTGCGTGCGTGTATGTGCGTGCGTGTGCGTGCGTGCGTGCGTGCGTGCGTGCGTGCGTGCG